GTCAGCCATGGGGCTAATTCTTCTCTTGCTTTTGGCAATCTTAAAATCTTTTAGGCTATTTTTAATTCCTAGGAAGTTCTGTGATGACTTTGTTGTAAATGAAATCTTGAGCCTTAACTTCTTGTCCTTATTGTAACCAACAGTCCAATGTTTATTCAGATACAAGACCTCACACTCAAATACCCCATCCCTGTCCCATACCTCACTGCCTGCTGCAAATAGCAAACCTAAAGCCGTGAAAGGGAGTGTGAGTAACCTCTCTTTTTTTAAGATTTATTTATTTATTTGAAAGGCAGAATTACAGAGAGAGAGGGAGAGACACAGAGAGAGGTCTTCTATCCACCAGCTCACTCCTCAAATAGCCACAAGGGCCAGGGCTGGGCCAGGCTGAAGCCAGGAACCAGGAACTCCATCCAGGTCTCCCATGTGGGTGGTAGGGTTCCAAACACTTGGGCCATCTGCTGCTGCTTTCTCAGGTGCATTAGCAGGGAGCTGGATGAAATAGTGGAGCAGCCAGGACTAAAATCAGCTCTCACAAGGGATGGCAGCATTGCAAATGGTGGCTTAATCCACTGTGCCACATTGCTGGCCCCATAGCTTCCCTCTTTTTGTCCCCTTTACCCCCATCTTACTAACATCTGGACCTGATTCCTTCCTTTCTCAACCTTGGAAGGACCTAAGCGGACCCTACTCTGTCTTTGTACCAGCTGTGGCCCCTGTGTGTGTGACAAGAACCATGGCCCTTCCTGTGCCCTGATGCATGCTGGGTGTGCAGGACACTCAATGCAGCTGTCAGGCTGCCCATCAGCAAAAGTGCACACTCCCCAGGCAGGAGCCAGACCCTGACCCACCATGTCCTTCCTGCAGGATGCCCAGCACGCTCTGCCAGCCGGTGCATTTACTCCCCCTTGCTGGATGTGAGGTAAAATGCACACACCCTAGGCTGGGGAGGCAGGAAACTCACAGGCATTAATAGCTCCCGCCGAAGTCCTCTCACTGGACTTTCTCCCTCCTGACTCTTGGACATGTGACAGAGGTAAAAGTTTAAATCATCTAACCTGTCTTTTGACATTTCTAGAGAACAAAGTATTGCAAAATCACTTGTTTTCTGATACCTAACCCATCTTGGTGTCTCAGTAGAACTTTCTCATTGAGATCTAGTTATGGAGAGGCAGGCTTTTGGTGCAACTTGGGACACTCCAGCCCATATTGGGGTGCCTTAGTTCAAGTTCCAGCTCCACTTTCAAATGTGCACTCTAGGAAGCAGCCACTGGTGGCTCAAGCACTTGAGACCCTAATTGAGTTCCTGGCTCCTGGCTTCAACCTGGCCCAGCCACAGCTGTTATGGGCATTTGGGAATTGAGACAGTGGTGGGAGACATCTCTCTCTGCCCTTCAAATAAATTTTAAAAATAAGTACATAAATAATATGTAAAGATAGCTGGTTACAATCATATTCCTACTACCTGGCTTTCAATAGTATATTTTAAATAATTCCTTGAGTGTTCTGTTTTCATTACCACCAGTTTGAATTATTGATTAAGAAAATAAATATATAATAAGAGGTGTATATTTTTATAGTAAAATGTGCATATTTTCATAACATTGCTTCTGTAGTTCTTTTGGCTAATTCAAGCATATATAAATTCTGTAATACCTTAAAATCAAGTTCTTAAATTGGCTGTTTGAAATAGACACGGGCCGGCGCCGTGGCTCACTAGGCTAATCCTCCGCCTTGCGGCGCCGGCACACCAGGTTCTAGTCCCGGTCGGGGCGCCGGATTCTGTCCCGGTTGCCCCTCTTCCAGGCCAGCTCTCTGCTGTGGCCAGGGAGTGCAGTGGAGGATGGCCCAAGTGCTTGGGCCCTGCACCCCATGGGAGACCAGGAGAAGTACCTGGCTCCTGCCATCGGATCAGCGTGGTGCGCCGGCTGCGGCGGCCATTGGAGGGTGAACCAACGGCAAAGGAAGACCTTTCTCTCTGTCTCTCTCTCTCACTGTCCACTCTGCCTGTCAAAAAAAAAATTAAAAAAAAAAAGAAATAGACACAATGTGATATTTACATCCTCAGGCAGGAACTTAAAGTATCTAGAAACAGATATCATCTATTGTGTTCCTGCAATATAGGCATAATCATAACTTACCACCATGTACAATATTTCTTTGGAAAACAATTACGATTTCAATACAGAATTTAAGAATCCCCCATAATAGCTGTGACAGTGTAATTAGCTAAGAACTTATTGTCCCTCACTAATCAGCTGGCAGAGCTGCAGAGAAGGTTCTGTAGCTTGGAACAAGGACTCTGCTAGAACAGAAGCTAGAGGTAGAACAAAATGAAATGGAAATTTGAGAACTTAAATGAAACAAGAAGAGAAGCTGTAGAAGGCCAAGACCTCTTCTTGTCCATTGAAAACCTCTCGAGGGGCAGGCGTCTGCTGCAGTTAGGACCCTGCTTGGGATGCCCGCATTCCATATCTGAAGGCCTGGCTTTGAGTTCCTGCTCTACTTCAGATTCAGACTCCTGCTAATGTGCACCCTGGGAGACACCGGTGATGACGCAAGTAATTGGGTTCCTGCCACAATATGGAAGACCTGGATTGAGTTTCTGGCTCCCAACTTCAGTCTCAACTCAGCCTAGCTGTTTCAGGCATTTGAGGAATGAACTAGTAGATGGGACTATTCTTTTTCTTAAATACCTCAATTAAAATTTTTTGTCAATTCCAAGAAATTGAAATACTTGGTTGGGGGCTGGTGTTGTGGTACACCCAGTTAAGCTGCCACTGTCATGTCAGCATCCCCTATCAGAGTGCCAGTTTGAATCTCAGCTGCTACTCTTCCAGATTCAGTTCCCTGCTAATGCACCTGGGTGGGTAGTGGGAGATGGTCCAGGTACGTGGGTCCCTGTAACTCATGTGGGAGACTTGGATGGAGTTCCTGGCTCCTGGCTTCAGCGTAGCCCAGCCCTGACTGTTGTGGCCATGTAGGGAGTGAACCAGTGGATGGAAGCTCTCTCTCTCCCTGCCCCCATCCCAATCTGTTGTTCTGCCTTTCAAATAAATAAATCTTAAAAGAAAAGGGACATTTGGTTTCTGTTTCCTAAATTCCAGTTATATCCAAATTCGAGTGATTATGTATATTACAATAACTAAAGGACATTTGTAAAGTAACTTAATAGCTTGAGAACACACAAGTCCTGAACTCAATGATTCTGCCAAAGACTTGAGCCAAGTGCCTATTAGCCATGTGCTTCTAAATTCTGTATTAGTAGCATCCCAATACCCTTTCCATGGAATCCAACTAGATTATAAAATTATAGTTAATCAGAGTCACTGCAAGCACATGGCTCTGGATTCCTCAAAGATGCAGTAATGCTGAAACAAGTGATTACCTCTCTGTTATTCACGTAGTTACTCATTACTGAACATCTGCCATGGGGTAGGCACTATTCTAAGTGCTTTTTGATAACAGTGGCAAGCAAGACGATTAAGATCCCTGCTCTTGGGGAACTCACATTCTAACATTTAGAGAGTCAATCACAAAATTACCAAACAAGAAAACTACTGAATAGAAATAACTAGTGCTATATAGAGAGTGAGGATGGGGAGTTAACTTTAGACAAAGTGACTTACAGAGGCTGCTTTGGGGAGGTGACATTTAATCTTCATAGATAGAGTATGGCAGGGAGAGGGAGTGAAAGGAATCCAGGGAAGATGTAGGATTTAACTCAGTGAACTCAGAGTGTGCCAGCTTGGAAGCTCTATCACATCTCTACTCTGAGATAAGATAGAAAGTGACAGTAACCATTAAGAATTTTTATAGCAACTTGATAGGGGAAATTTTATGTCTTAAATATAATAATTTTACATGCTTTTTATTTAATTTTTGCCATTCATTTTTATTTTATAAAAATATACGTTGAAAAATTTTTAAACCTGGTTGTCACCAGAGGCAGTGTGAGAATACTGGATTATTCACTTAACCAAGTGGATGAGTAGTGGTGCCCTATTCTGAGTTGAGGAAGAGCAGGCTAGGAGCATCTCTGGGAGACTGACATCTAGAGTGGGTTATTTGGGTCATGCTAAGATTGAGATGTCTGTTGGGTCTCATAACATAGAGTGGATAACTGGTTAATGACTCTGGAATTCTAGAGAGAGACAAGGCTTAGAGATAGGGATTTGGGAGTCATTAGCAAAGAAAGTGTCTGAAGTTGGGAGACTGTACGAGATCACCTAGAGCAGAGAAGTAGAAGCCAACAAAGGAGACTGATAAGATGCAGCCAGAGAAAGAGGAACAGCCAACAGAAGAAATGTTTCCTAAAGGGAAAAGTAGCCATCTGTGTGCAATGCTGCAGAGAGGTCAAGTAAGGTAAGGACAGATAAGTAATGACTGGACGTGGCAAGGAGACACTGACAGTAGCAATCTCTGTGGGGCAGTAAGAACGCAGCCTAATTTAGTAGGTTAGCCTGAGAAAAAGTGACATGGAAATGATAATGTAACAATAGGGAATTATTTCAAATTGTTTGGTTGTGAGGGGGGCAAAGAGAGATGCAGTGAGGGCAGATGTGGGGTGAATTAAGAATTATTTAAGATGGGTTTTCCTCAAATGTACAGACAGGAATGTCCAGCAGAGAGAGGAAGTTCAGGATACATTTGCCAAAATAACTCTATAGGTAGTTCTACTTTTTGAAATGAATACTAATAGTAGTTATGGGAATTGTATTTCATCTTCATTCCATTCCCTATAGAATTCTACTGGTACTCCATGTTCAAGGGGAGGAATCAAGATTCACTAAGGCAGCTTGATATTATAGTAAAGATACTGACAATCCTGTTAATGCTCCATGATGAGGAACTGGAAATGGAACATGTCTGGTTTATGGGAATTCCATGGTATAAAACTAACATCAGAATCTTAAAAAGCCATATCCTCAATTACACCAATGGACACATTCTCTTTCATCCTAGAAACTGAAATTGAAACATGTTTCTCATTTTTACAGGAGTACAAAATTTCAAGCTTTGAGCAGAGGCTGATGAATGAAATAGAGTTTCGTTTGGAACGCACTCCTGTTGATGAATCAGATGATGAAATCCAGCATGATGAGATCCCCACGGGCAAGTGTATTGCTCCCATCTTTGACAAAAGACTCAAACACTTCCGGGTCACAGAAGGTTCTCCAGTCACGTTCACCTGCAAAATTGTTGGGATACCTGTTCCAAAGGTAGGGGAAGATGGCCTGCCAATTGGTCAATCAATGGTATAGAATTATAGACACTGCCTTCTAGAAAGTCTTAGACGCTAGTGAAATAACCAGACAAGAAATGAAAACCAATACAAGGAACCAATACTAGTACTAAAAAGAGACCACCAGGAATTGAATCATTAACTTTAGAATATAATTTTAATATAATCATTAAAATCATTACACCAAACATAAATCAAGCTATGTCTAGGTTAGAATTCTAATGGAGGTTTAAAATAAATTTCTCAGCCATGATACTGTATTTTGGGCTATTTATTCTCTTAGCCATCAGACTCACCAAATTCATATTTTTCTTTCTATTTAACATCTATTAAATATCCACAGGGTGCCTGTTGTTTTACAAAGTGAGCTATATTTGTATCATTACTATTAGGTTGGTAAATGCCAAAAATGTCATATCGTTATCACTGGCTGCTGAAAAATCTTATGAGTCACCAGATTTTTTGGCAGTCAACTGAGAGAAGGATTTACACCTGGTGAGACTGTGGTAGGGAATCTCTCCACTCTGCTTTCACAAACATCAGTGTGGTGTTATCCTGTACGGTTAGGTAACCAGGAAAAGTACAGGAGGGCAGCTGCAACCGGTCCTTTATCTCCTCTGTCTTTGAGAGATCTCCTTGACACATGCAGAACATGACATGAAAAAATGTATGTGCCCTTATTTAAATGTGACTAGATGAGAAATTTAGCAAGTTAATCCTAGCTTCATCCCATTAACCTACCGAGCAAGGTGAACTCTTCTAGGCTGAGATCTGCAACTTCAGGAGACTTGAGCTTGTAAATGGGGGGGGGGGGGGGGGATCCAGGCTCCCAGTTAGAATTATTTTGCTTCTGAAGATACATAGGTCCTTAGAGTATCTTTTTAACTAATTCTGAAGTTGAATTAAAAATAGTCAAAAGCTTTGCCCTAATTTAAATTTAATTGAAATTTTTTGCTTAAATACCGTATAGGTACAAGTGAAGGGGCATATTATACCGCTATTTTCAATGTGAAGCTTTTTTCCAAGTGCTTTAGAAGGGTTGGATCACCTGTTAGAGAGAGGTAGCAATTAGCCCTTGCCTTACTGCACTCCCTCATTTCCTGGCCTCTGAACCTGTATGGAACAGTGTATTTCCCCTTGATCTCATCTCTTCCATTCCAGGTTTACTGGTTCAAAGATGGGAAGCAGATTTCTAAGAGAAACGAGCACTGCAAAATGAGGCGAGAAGGAGATGGGACGTGTTCTCTGCACATCGAATCCACCACCAACGACGACGATGGCAACTACACCATCATGGCCGCCAACCCCCAGGTACACACAGGGTCGTGCGCTGGGCCGCACTCCGACGCAGGCGCAGTTGATCTCATCGTGAATGAGGCCTTGAGAAATGCGAGTGACTAGGAATGGCTGAGGACATGAACGAGGAGCACCGTGCTCTGTTCACTTCTCAGGTCGCAAAATAAAAGTCATCACGGTGGTCCTAAACATCTCCCCCCACCCAGAATATTAGCAGTGAGCTCACTGAAAATACTAAAAAGCTGGATTGTTTTCATTCCTGTCTTCACCAAAGAAAAACTCATAATAGCCAAAAAGTTTCACAATGTTCCAGTCCAGAAAATTTTATATATGGTAAAAAAAAAATGTGGCTTTCTCCTTATTTTAAACTTGTTCATTTTCTTTTTCTCAGGGGAGAATCAGCTGCTCCGGCCACCTGATGGTACAGGGTTTGCCCCTTCGCAGCCGACTAACTCCAGTTGGTCAGTCTCACAGGTAAAGACAGGAACAAGCTCCTTCTCTGGGCCCCTCCCAAGCGCGTGCCCACCACAGGAAGCACCCAAGTACATTTGGCTCCCCACATCCATGGGTTCCACATCCTGGGATTCAACCAACTGCAGAGCAAAAAGAGTAAAACAAAAATCCTTCCCATAAAATTCCAAAACAGCAAAAGTTACACGCAACACTGAAGGCACATGTTGAAGTGATATAGGAATGGTGTAATGGAGAGATGATTGAAACATACAAGGGATGTGTGTAGGTTACACGTAGATCCACACTGTTTTATGTAAAAGTGTTGAACATCCAGGGGTTTGGGTATCCACAGGTAGGGAGGGATGGTCCTGGAAGCAATGCCCTCAGATACCAAGGGACGATTGTATATTGTTATAATTCTGCTATCAGGAATATTCAATAAGTTCACGGACAACACATATTATGAAAACACTATGGATGGATTTCAAAAGTTTTGTGCCAAAATAAACAAGTTTAAGATTTATTTTTGCCAGCGCCGTGGCTCAGTAGGCTAATCCTCCGCCTTGCGGCGCTGGCACACCGGGTTCTAGTCCCGGTCGGGGCGCCAGATTCTGTCCCGGTTGCCCCTCTTCCAGGCCAGCTCTCTGCTGTGGCCAGGGAGTGCAGTGGAGGATGGCCCAAGTCCTTGGGCCCTGCACCCCATGGGAGACCAGGAGAAGCACCTGGCTCCTGCCTTCGGATCAGCGCGGTGCGCCAGCCGCAGCGTGCCAGCCACGGCAGCCATTGGAGGGTGAACCAACAGCAAAGGAAGACCTTTCTCTCTGTCTCTCTCTCTCTCACTGTCCACTCTGCCTGTCAAAAAAAAAAAAAGATTTATTTTTATGTATTTGAAAGGCAGAGTTACAGAGAGAAAGAGACAGAGTGAGTGAGAGAGAGAGAGAACTTTCATCTGCTGTTTCACTTCCCAAATGACCACAATGGCCAGAGCTGGGCCAGTCTGAGGCCAGGAGCCAGGAGCGTCGGCCACCCTTTGCTGCTTTCCCAGTCATATTAGCAGGGAGCTGGATCCAAGCAGAGCAGCCAGGACTCAAACCAGCACCAATATGGGATGCCAGCATGGCAGGCAGCGGCTTTACTCACTATCCCACAACACCAGCCCCTAAAGTTAACTTTAAAAAAAAAATAAAGATGTATCTATTTATTTGAAAGGCAGAGTAACAGAGAGGCAGAGGCAGAGAGAGAGGTCTTTCATCCACTGGTTCGCTCCCCATATGGCTACAATGGTCACAACTGGGCTGATCCGATCCAAAGTCAGAGGCCTGGAGCTTCCATCTAGGACTTGAACCAGCGCCCATATGGGATGCCAGCACTGCAGGTGGTGGCTTCACCCGCTACACAACAGCGCCAGCCCCTAAAGTTAACTTTTAATTCCATTTTCCATGAACTTTTTCAAGTGCCCTTGTACTTTGTGAGTTATTGCCATTAACCTCTACTGTACTTGGTTTATAAATTAAACTTTATCATAGACAGCTAGGTATTGGAAAAAACATAGCATAAATAGGGTTTTGTACTGATTCAAGTTTCAGGTATCCACTGGGCATCTTGGAATGTATCCTACATATCACTCTATGTATTAGATCCAAAAATTGTTACTTAAAGGTAGTCCTGCGGTATCAGCATCACCTGGGAGCTTGCTGGAAATGCAGAATCCCAGGCCCCACGCCAGATCTGCTGGACCAGAATCTGCATTCTAATGAAATTCCCAGGTGACTCATAAATGCATTGGAGTCTGACAAGCTCTGGACTCTGGCATACTTTAACTGATAATTATCAATAGTACCTGTGCACATAATAGAAAACTCGACTTCTTTGAATTAAATTACCATCTTTTCTTCTAAAAACAGAAGTCTTTAATGATTATATATGTATATAAATTGCATATTTTTGTTGTATCTAAGTTAACAGTTGATTTTCTTCCTCTCTGATCTCACTGACCACTAAGAAGAAAGACCTGGCTTTCCCCCTGAGTCTTATGGTGCCGTAAAGTCTTAGCGAGGCATTCCATGGCTGCTGACACAGATGAATTAAATGTGACTTACCAAAGGAACAAAAATAGTGACCCATGTTTCAGATGCGGTATTTTTCCACCGTTGCAACTATACCTTCCTCTCCTCCTCCTCCTGCCCCCTTCCTCTTTCTCTTCCTCCTCCTCTTCCTTCTTTTTTCAAGAACTGCTGGTACTGTTAGTTAGTCTTACCCAGTTTATGATTACATTTAATGGTCTGCCATAATTTAAAGCCAGGTTAAATGTTATTACTCGGGGTCGGTGCTGTGGTGTAGCAGGTAAAGCTGCCACCTGCATTGCCGGCATCCCATATGGGCGTCGGTTCTGGTCCCAGATGCTCCACTTCCCATCCAGCTCTCTGCTATGGCCTGGGAAAGCAGTAGAAGATGGCCCACATCCTTGGGCCCCTGCACCCACATGGGAGACCTGGAAGAAGCTCCTGACTCCTGGCTTTGGATCAGCGCAGCTCTGACCATTGTGGCCAACTGGGGAGTAAACCAGCAGTTAGAAGACCTCTCTCTCTCTCTCTCTCTCTCTCTCTAACTCTACCTCTTAAATAAATACATCTTCTAAAAAAAAGAAAAGAAAAGAAGGAGCTGAGCCACTTAAACCCAGACTGACTTCAGAGAGAAGGAAGCTAAAGCCTGTTTATTTGATTACAGATCTCACAAGACAATCCTGCCATGTAGGAGACATTTACCACTTTGTGTTTAACATCAGTATTACACATTATTTATTATTTATGATTATTCTTTGTTTATGGTCTAGCAACCCCTTTCCCCATCCAAAACCACCTGTCCTGCAGGCTCTGTAGCCATGCCTAAATGCCTATTGTGGTGAATTGGTAAATGGGCCTCCACGTTTAATGTTGGCAAATGTCTGCTGTTGCAGGGGCAGGTCCCGAGTGCAAGACAGAGACAAAGAGCCTCTCCAGGAACGCTTTTTCCGACCACACTTCCTGCAGGCCCCCGGAGACATGGTAGCTCATGAAGGGCGCCTCTGTCGGCTGGACTGTAAGGTAGATGCCGGCACGCATGCCTGGCTCCAGACCTGGTCTTAATTCCTGTTTGGCGGTTTGCATTTACTTTTGTTTGTTTGTTTTGCAGTTGGTTGGTTGGTTTTCAGGGAAAAGGGACCCGGACAGAGAAGGGAGAGAGATCACTTGTTTTCACACAGCTCTTTTGAGCATGTAACTATCAGAAATGGTTATTTCAAAGAAAGCTTTTACATCTTTATATCCTAATAAATATTACATCAACCAAAGAAGTAATAGAATTCTGATATTTTCCAAACAGTGCCCCATTGCCTTTCTAACTCTGAAGCCTCAAGTGTGACCTTCACATCCTTGAAGGCCATGGTTGTAAGGGTGGCAGTCGTGGCGGCTGACAAGTGCACAAGGTGTTTTCTCACATCGAGCTGCCTCTACCACCTGTACAATCCTCATTCCAATTTTCCACCCAGATACTAGGCTTCTGTTGAGCCTTGTGGCTCTCTCTCAGTAGAGAACCTCGTCACCCCTTCTGCCCTGGACAAAGATACAGAACGCTATGGAAGATGTAGATGCTAACCACTGAAGGCTTGAAGCAAAGCATTCACGACTTGTGGTTCCTGCTCTCTCACTGGCTGCCTAATTAGTCTTTGGGTTGACTGTTACTTCCACCTCACTAAACCCAATGCCTGGGCCCATCCCCGGGGATTCTGGTTTTATGCAAGAGGTGGGCATTGGGATATTTAAACATGATTATAACATGCACCGTGGTTGGAGAACGCTGGCATAATGTTTGGCCTTCTTTCACCTAATTCTTACTAATTATGTATGGAAGCAACATAGCCCTGAAACTGATGCTGCAGGCCTATTTCATCTGTTTACTTTTTAAATTCTTATTTATTCTAATTAAAGTAACATACATTAATCCCAACCTGAATTGGAATCAAAATAGCATGCCTTTTAAATGAACACAGTCATTCACTTAGGCTCCTCTTGCTTAACTGGAAAGGGCTCCCATCACCCCATGTTTTCTCTCACCGCATATTTGGTGCCAAGCCCGGATGAGGAATTCAGCCACCAAATAAATCAATCTGTCATTTGCCTCAGCTGTCCCGTTGTTTATTAGGTGAGTGGCTTACCGCCCCCGGAGCTGACGTGGCTGCTGAATGGCCAACCTGTGCTGCCAGACGCCTCCCACAAGATGCTGGTCAGGGAGACCGGAGTCCACTCTCTGCTCATCGACCCACTCACGCAACGTGACGCCGGCACCTACACGTGTGTGGCCACCAACAAAACCGGGCAAAACTCCTTTAGTTTGGAGCTCACTGTAGTAGGTAAGGTGCGCTGCTGGGACCCCTACACGGAACTGCCTCCCAAGTTACCGCCCAGATACGCAGGAATTCCCAAGTGCTTTGCCCCGCGGTGTCTGCTCTGTTTCCCCTTCAACGCGGTCAAGGCCATTTTTCCGACATTACCTTCAAAGTGAAGCAGTCTTGAGATCAATCGTCCAGAAATGGAACGTGGCACCTGGTCCACGTGTCACATGATAAATGGTGGCCATAATGGCAAGATTATGATTTTTGTGTTTTTTTTTTTAAATATATAGGATCCTGTAGATGTGAGATTTTTCAAAATAAGAAGTTGGGGCAAATTAAAGTATCTTCTATGAAGTGAACTCCTCCCCCAATATAAAAGGATCTATTTAGACACAGAGGATACCGCCGCTCCACGTTCACTGTTGTGCATAAAACAAACTCCACCCTTCCTAACACAGCCCACGTGTGTGCCTCGGGTCCTCGAGCGTCGTCGCTCGTGGGAGGCACAGAGACAGCCGTGCGCGCCTTTGTTAACCACTTACGGAGCCTTTTCCCAGGCAGTGACCCTCACCAAGAGGCACAAGTGCCCTGAGGCGGAGGGGGGTGGGCACGTGCCCACTCTGCAGCCTTCCAGAGCTGCGGCGAGTGTGGGGCCCGAGGCTGCGGGCGCTTAGGGCTCAACAAGAGCGGCCTTCTCCTCCTGCAGCCAAAGAGGTGAAGAAAGCGCCGGTGATCCTGGAGAAGCTGCAGAACTGCGGCGTTCCCGAAGGCCACCCCGTGAGACTGGAGTGCCGCGTGATCGGCATGCCGCCGCCCGTGTTCTACTGGAAGAAAGACAATGAGACCATCCCTTTCACCAGGGAGAGGATCAGGTACGCACCCACCGAGCCCAGGGGCCGTCCACAATAGGGGTTTGCTGGGCCACCAGCTAAGTCTGTGGCCTTTTGAGTGTGGCTGCGTTCCTTGAGCATAGGGGCTTTGAGTCTCAACGCGTGTTATTGTGCATACCAAGAATTGACTCCTTTTTGTTACAGAGTGGTAGTGCATGGCAGGGCTGACTTGTGGCTTTAAAACTTATTTTTGTTACTGCGATTTTTAAAAACACTTTTTGGGGCTGGCGTTGTGGCTGCCATATGAGTGCCTGTTGATGTTCTGACTGTTCCAGTTCTGACCTAGCTCCCCGCTAATGGCCTGGGAACACAACAGAAGATGGCCCAAGGGCTAGGGCCCCTGCACCCACATGAGAGACTCAAATGAAACTGCTGGCTCCTGGCTTGGGCTTGGCTCAGCCCTGGCTGTTGCAACCATCTGGAGAGTGAACCGGCAGATGGTAGATTCTCTCTCTCTCTCTCTCTCTCTCTCTCTCTCCTTCTCTCTCTGTAATTCTACCTTTCAAATGAATAGATAAATCTTTTTTTAAAAAAGAGAAAAACAATTTTTAAATATTTTGTTTACTTATTTGAGAGGTAGAGTTACAGAGAGAGGGAAAGACAGAGAGAAAGGTCTTCCATCCACTGGTTCACTCCCCCAGTGGCCACAATGGCCACAGCTAGGCTGGTCTGAAGCCAGGAGCCAGGAGCTTCTTCCAGGTCTCCCATGTGGGTGCAGGGGCCCAGGGACTTGGCCATCTTCTACTGCTTTCCCAGGCCATAGCAGAGAGCTGAATCAGAAGAGGAGCAGCCAGGACTCAAACTAGCACCTATATGGGATGCCGGCACCACAGCAGAGGCTTAGCCCACTACACCACAGTACTGGCCTCCAAGAAAAAAATTTTTTTATTTGAGAGACAGAGTGCTCCCATCCACTGGTCCATGCCCCAGATGTCTGCAACCATGGAACTGTGCCAGCCTGAACCGGGTCTCCCATATGATTAGCAGAAACTCAGTCCGTTTTAAGCTAGCACCACTGCATCCTGGGAGCTGCATTAGAAGAAGCAGGAGTCAGGAGCTGAACCAGTATCAACTCAGGCATTCACATAAGGGACACGGGCTCCTTAACCACCAGGCCAAATGTCTGCTCCTAAAAGTTTGAGTTTTTACTTATTTATTTGTTTGAAAAGGGGGGGGGGGGGCAGGGAGAGAGAGGGGGGGAGGGGAGAGGGAGGGGGAGAGGGAGGGGGAGAGGGGAGAGGGAGGGGGAGAGGGGAGAGGGAGGGGGAGAGGGAGGGGGAGAGGGGAGAGGGAGGGGGAGAGGGGAGAGGGAGGGGGAGAGGGAGGGAGTCTCCCATTTGCTAAATTACTCCCCAAATGCCCTCAGCAACCAAGGCTAAGCCAGGCTGAAGCCAGTAGCCAGGAACTCAGTGTGGGTCTTGCATGTGGGTGGAGAACACAAGACTTGAGCTGTCACTTGCTGCCCCCTGGGGGGCACTTTAACAGAAAGCAGGAATCTGAAGCAGCTGGGAACTGAACCCAGGCACTCAGATATGGGTTGCAGGTGCCCCAAGCAGTATCAAAACTGCCAGTACAAATGCCAGCCTCTAAGACTTTAAGTTAAAAGATTCACAGGGAATTTCTGAATGATCTTGCATGTGTTTTATCATGTTTCCTCAGTCATTTTAGCACCAGAGTAGCTCTTTGAAGTAGAAAGCTAAAATAAAACAAAACATTAAGGCAGCTGTACTCCTTTTCCATCACTAAATCTTTATATATATTTTTTAAGTTCAAGGATCCAGTTTCTTAAAGTGGGGGCCTCACTCCATTTTCCATCAACCTTATTTCCTTGTCATTTTGGTTTTATACCACAAGGGGGCAAGCAAGCAAAGGCAATTTCTGTACCAAACTTCCTTCTGGGCGTGAGGGCATGGTAAATGGTATTTGTGCCAGAGGATGACGTAGCTGCTAACTTTTACAGGATGTCAGCATCAAAGATTTTCCTCTGGTCCAACTTAAGTGAGCTAACCTTTCAGTCCAAACTAACATAACATCGATCAGATGAACTGGATAGGTAAATGTATTCTGCTAGGTAAACTGATCCTGTGTCCTTCCTAAACCGAGGGTCTCCAATTTTAAATACGGGGTGTTTTGAGTGGAATTGCAACATCTGGGCAGCATGTTTCCCATCCGGGCTGACTGCTCAGCCTTTGGACCTTGGGCCCCATTCAGCTTAGTCCCCACTGCCAGGGGGGCTGGGCCCCTTCGAGAGAAGGCATTTTTGTATATTCATCTTGGTGCTCCCTTGGCACCTTGGCATTGTGTCCAACACAGTATTCAATATTTACTAAAGAAATAGATCGATGAATTAATTCACCAGAATTAGCCCATGTGAAAGGGTGGTAAGACAGAGGGATGTTTCATTGCATTTATTATTATACTTGTTCTTACTTTATTTACTCTTGTTGATGTATTCTCATTACTTTATAAACTCTTGGCCATATAGAAATAATTTTCAATTAAAGGGAATCATTTGTTAAGCCTCTGAGCTCAGGCAGTTACTGCTGTTACCTCTGCCCTACCAATGAGCAGAGGCAGCAACAGAAGGGAGTTTGGGGTTTTGAACGGGAAAGGAGGAGTGTGGATAAGGGGTCGGGAGGATGTGGTCCCATGGTTCTTAATCCCTCAGATGCATAGATGCATTTTAGAATCACCTGTTTCTTTCTTTTTTTTTTTTTTTTTTGGACAGGCAGAGTGGATAGTGAGAGAGAGACAGAGAGAAAGGTCTTCCTTTTTGCCATTGGTGCACCCTCCAATGGCCGCCACGGCTGGCGCGCTGTGGCCGGCATACCGCGCTGATCCGAAGGCAGGAGCCAGGTGCTTCTCCTGGTCTCCCATGGGGTGCAGGGCCCAAGGACTTGAACCATCCTCCACTGCACTCCCTGGCCACAGCAGAGAGTTGGCCTGGAAGAGGGGCAACCGGGACAGAATCCGGCGCCCCAACCGGGACTAGAACCCGGTGTGCCGGCGCCGCTAGGTGGAGGATTAGCCTATTGAGCCGTGGCGCCAGCCCACCTGGAGTTTCTAAAATTCCAAGTACTTGGGTCCCAGCCCGAGACTGGGATGTGATTATCTGGGATATGGCCTGGATTTCAGTGGGCAGCCAAGGTTGAGGACCACAATCCAGAGAAAACAGCAGGAAAGAGCAGACTGACTTCCTCCTTCACTGCATTAAGTTCAGCACCACTCATGCTCTCCTGGCTGCACGAGGAAGGCGGTCAGTCCCTGCTGTCAGTCCATCAGTCCCTGGGCTCTGGTTCTGCTTGCTTTCCCAGAGCTTCCTAACAAGTTCTTGTTGAAGTCTCCAACCTCATGTGGGAAAGGGGAGGCCCGGGGTGGAGCTGGAGCAGAGGCGATCTGTCGGCCTCCTCCAAGCATTACTGGGTTCACTGCTGCTGTTCCGTGCTCCCTCCCCAACTTCAGCTTTACCTTGATGTTTGTCTGAGCTAAGTTCCTCTTCCTTCCCTGTAGGGAGGAAGAGCTCTAAGAGGTTCCCTGATAACCCCTGAACGTGACAAGGATGCTTCTGCTCCAGCTAAGGTGTGCATGTCTCCTTTCCTTTCTCCCCAGTATGCACCAGGACACAACAGGGTACGTCTGCCTCCTCATTCAGCCAGCCAAAAAGTCAGACGCGGGGTGGTACACGCTGTCAGCCAAGAACGAAGCCGGCATCGTGTCGTGCACCGCAAGGCTGGACATCTACGGTAAGTGTCCTGCCCGCGGCTGGGCATCTGTGCACGGCAGGCAGCTTCCAAGTGTGCTCTTCTTAAAAGGATGGCGATAGTCAGTGTCTGTAAATGAACCGGTAGATGGTGCTTTAGCACCCAGGAGATGGATTTGTAAAGTCATCTCATCTACGTCACCTCAGGACCTACGTACACATTTACGTTTTACTATAAGCTTAACTTTCTTCCAAAAGAAGGTTTTGACTACTAGGAATTGCAGCTTGGCTGGAGCTTACGTGGGCTTGGATGTCTGATCACCCAGCATCTTCATGCTGTCTCCTTGCTGCCCTGGGCCAACCCACTGGCTCTCCCCATGGCTGGGAGCTCCCAGCAAAATTTTCCCAACACCATTCATTTGTTTATTCATTCAGCAAATGTGTTTCCTTCTGCTCCACCAATCAGATTTCCCTAATAACACAGAGCTGGTCTGATTATAATAATATCAAACAAAGTGTGTACAGTAACTTGCAGTTAACTAGGTGATACTCTTGGGTCCTCCCAGAACCATGAGATTATTGTAAGTGTTGTTACCCTCAAATAAACACTAAAGAACCCAAAACTCAGAGAGGTAAGTAACTACAGAAAGGAAGGAAATTGAGGCCTTTGTCTCATTCCACTGAGCCATGCCTCTAATTTTCAAAAAGATCTGACAAATTAATCTTTATTAACATATTTATGTGCTGATTCCTCTCCTCTACACATTTTGCATTAATTGGCATTTTTGGAAACTTATTTCTTAATCCAGAAGAGTACTTCCTTTGTCCTTCCTTCCTTCTTAAAAAATTAGAATAAGTGTTATATTCATAAGTGGCCTAACATGATGAACCAGAATAGCAACTAAGGTTCTGTCTCACACACGAGGCTCCTGCTGTTTGGAGCTGGACACCAGGAATTCACTTCGCTAGTCCCACAGAGGGGCCATTGCCTGCCCTTTCCCTAGGTGTAATTTTTGGAGGAAATACACAGCTTTCTGATTATTCCCCCTTCTTCCTGGACTTGAAATGCAGCTGAGAGGGAGGCTGGAAGCATCCAAGGGAGAGGAAGCAGTGCTGTGTATCTTCGCCCAGGCTAAGTCCTTAACCGCTTCCCACAATTCACCCTGTCAGGAGGCAGGAGGTCTCCTACCGAGCAACTCAGTACCAACAGGTCCTGGAGTGGAGACTTCCCTCTCCAGTGGCTGAGTTCCCAAGTCAGTTTGTCCTGGCTCATCTGCCCCGGCTCCTGTCCTGATTCCGCAGCACCAACAGCAGGAGGCGCTGTTTCCTCAGCTGGGACTAGGGCCGGGGTTGGGAGAGGATGGAAGACAGGCAAGAGTAAGTTTCCCGTCCACCACCACACTTCCTGCTTGCCTGAGCAATGGGCACACTAGGCTCAGCTCTCTCCTCCAGAGGAGGGCTTCCAGTAGTAGGAATTACAAGAAGCCAAATCACAAGGGCACTTGATGGTGTCTGAATCAGACAGTGGCCAGGACCATAGCAGAGTCTGGAAAAATTTGGATTGAGGACAGTATGCACGTCTGATGCACCTGCTAGCCTGTGTTCCCTTTGATCATAACACGTTTTTGGGTCCATTTTCCAGCTCAGTGGCACCAGCAGATCCCCCCGCCCATGTCCATCCGGCCCAGTGGCAGTCGCTATGGCTCTCTCACCAGTAAAGGACTTGACATTTTTTCTGCCTTTTCCTCCCTGGAAAGCACAATGGTATACTCGTGCTCCTCGCGGAGTGTAGTGGAGAGTGATGAACTCTAAGAACGTGTGGGTGCCTGCTGCGGAAGGGGGCAAGCCGTGCGGGGAGGAGGACAAGCCTGCGGCCGTTTCCAACTCGCCTGGGTTTGAGGGAGTCCCCACCCTGCTGGACCTGTGGCAAGGAGCGCACTGAACGAGCCAGCTGGGGAGAGACCCAGGGCTCCGAGAAGACAGCACAGACCAACCAAAGATGCCGCACAGCTGCCATCCACTGCTCCGGGGAGAGCTAGCAGAGCCCCTGCCTTTTGTGGTGGGGGGGATGCTTCAGCCCTACCGGGAGCAATTAGGGGCCACATGCCTGGGCTGAGAGGAGTTAGACAGTAGTGACCTTGGGCTTTACCTACCAAACGAAAGAAGGGGGAGAGAGGCCACCCCACCACCCTTCCTGCATTATATCCCCAGTAGGAGGTTTGGCAAATTCAGTCAGTCAGCCTCCACTTCGCATTCACAGCACACAGATGTGGAGAAGCACTTTTTAATTTGCACGTGCTGAGTGTAACTGAGCCACATGGTAAGGTGCCAAAATGTGCCTGAGATGCCCCCAATTCACTGAAACACTCACTATTGCACACTGCACTTAGCCGGTGGACGCCCGCCCTGGGCCCGTGTGCACCATTTTCTTTTGCCTGGTGACTGGTTTTTCTTCTTTCTGCTTTTGCATATCCCAAATGCTAGAGCTAAAGGTTCGTTAAAAAACCAACTGGGAGGAAATCTCCTAGGAGTCACTGTAAAAACTACTGCCTTCAATTGCCACTTGGAAAATGTGCAAGATTCATCATCCTTTATTCATAAGATACCAACCCCAGACTCTTCCCTCCCCGCAAAGAGTGTGGAAGCATAAGAGGCAGTGAGGAAGCAAGAGCACAAAGAGAGGAAGTTTGGGGGGGGGGGGGGGATGGAGAGGAGGGAAGCTCTCACCACAGCAGAGCAGCAGGTGCAGCGAGAGAGGTCTTTAATAGCTGTGGACCGCTCTGAGATCACCCATCAGATTGCACTGCCTGCATAGAAACTATGAGAAAGTGAGTGGAAGGGGACTTTGCATCTTTATGCTAAAGCACCTACTCAAAACCTGCCTCTCAACCTAAGGAATTTTTAGATCGAAGTTCAATGCTAGATTCTTAGTACCTGGAGGAGTACCTAGTACGAAATAGGCATTTGAGAAATGTTTGCCGGATGAGTGAATCTTATGTTAGGTAGAGGAATCTGCAGCTCACACCCCGGTCCAAGGACTGCCCTGGGGACGGGCAGCACAGCAAGTCTGCTCCAGGCTCAGCAGGGAAGTGAACAGGAGGGGTCTTTTGTCAACTCCCTGTGCTCCACCTTCTGGTGTTTTCTGTGCCAGGCACCCTCAGCTGGCACCTTATTCAAGTGATTTAGATAGAAATAGTCATTGCTTAGAAGGGCTTGAAACTTTCTTCGCTTCAAGGCAAGGATTTCCAGTACAAAAATAAATTCATTCACTCAAACAATCCTTTGTGTGTCTGCTCTGTGTAAGATGCTCTGCTACCTACTGTGGGCAGCACAAGGATATGAGTGAGACACAGTCCCCACCCAGAGAGGGCGCGCAGCCCAGTGGGTGAGGTGTACCCAAGGCACGTAGAATGCTGCTTCGGGAGGCAAAAACCCATTCTTTGGCAAAGAGATGTTTCTCGGGCTGTTCATGTTATTTTTTTTCCTAACTTGCAGAATCTTTTTAACCTGTTTTCAATCTTTGTTTCTTAATTAAACAAAATGCCATAGGTTATATATCATTAAGAAATAAAGTTTTCAGTCCATTATTCAACAAAATTATTAGAACTTGTTTCCTTTCTCATGGGTCCAGTAACAGCAGTGAAATGAAGGCATCTGTAAGTGGGATAGAATGCATTACATATGAAAGGTAGCCTGTAAAATGGGTTTTGTTCTGTGTTAATTTCTATTGTGAAATGTCTTATAACCGAGCACCTTCTAACACCAGAATTGCTTCTGGATTGCACAGATCACCTTCCGAGCACACTTACTTATGTCAATCATACACAGTTGTCCCACAAAAACATATTCTTTATCTCCATATGTCTCAAGTTTCTGAATTTTTTTATCTGTTGTCTAATTTTAGTGTTTAAGAGAATTAGAATAAAATACTATTCTTAGCCACTAGGTGGCGCCATCTCACCCAAAATACAACAAATCTAAAGCTAAATGTGAACCAGGTTTCTGAACCTCGCACTACTGACATTTTGGGCTGGATAATTCTTTGTTGTTTGCAGGGGCGGGGGAGAGCTGTCCTGGATATTGCAGGATATCCGACAGCATCCCTGGCCTACCTACTAGTTGCCAGTAGCAGCCCTTCCCTAGACTGTGGCTACCCAAAGTGGCCCCAGACGCTCCTACCTTCCTTCGGAAGCAGAATTCTTTTTTGTTGAGGACTCCTGTACTAAAAAAATCAGCACCCTGCTTTAAGGATCCTATCAGGAATCAATTACAGCGGGGGATATTTGAAAAAGAAATGTTCGAATCCAGAATTTGTTCAGGATACGTCCAAAATCAGATTCATTACCTCCGCTCCATACGCTGTTCTCAGCCTGGGGGAATGATTCCACATTCCTCATCATCCAAATAAGAAGCTTCCTCTACCCAGTCCGTAAGTCCTGTGCATTCTCAGTATGGCCCACGGCTCTAATACAGGCCTTCCTTTCCATTCCCCTGCAAACTCCGCAGATCAGACTTCCATTACTGTCTTCATTTCCCTCAGTCCTCTGACATCAGCCATAACCGACTTCCAACTGCTCTTCCTGCCTCTAGCCCTGCTCTTCCCTTCCCTCCACTGCCCCTCAGGTCTCAGCATCAACCATTCCTCCCCCAGAACTGTTATCATCCAGTGGTCAACCCCCACTGGCTAGCTGGAACCAACTGGGGCACCTGCTGTTCTGCTCTGGGGTGTTCAGACTCATGCCAGTATGACCCCAAAGCTTTCACTCACAACTCAGAAGAACGTCCAGCGCGCAGCAGCCCTCACACAGGCTCCTGGTTTCCAGCTACTCTTCTGCCTCCCCCTGAAAGGCTCACTCCCCAGTCTCCACCTATGGAGCTCTCATCTGTTCCTTAAAGTCCAGCTTGAATGCCACTGCCTCTCTGAAATACACACTCCAACCAAATAAAACTGTATTTTCTTTGAAATCTCATAACAAGTAGCTTGGGTCTTGAGGAAGAGAAGATTACTGCAAATCACATTTTATACAGAACACAGTCTCTATCCACCTGCCTGCTCCCTGCCCTTGCGCAAGCCCACTCTTGCTTGCACTAGGCTTTACCCCTTGTTGGTATAGACTGTTGCCTTTGCGCCTTATGCAGAGTAGGCACTCAATAAATCTTTACTGATCTGAATTGCATTTCAAACTCCATGGACATAGGTATGCTTCTATAAACCTCAGCATCACATTAGAATCTCCCAGGTAGCTTTTTTTTTTTTTTTTTTCTGACAGGTAGAGATATAGACACACACAGAGAGAGAGAGAGAGAGAGAGGTCTTCCTTCCATTGGTTCACCCTCCCAAAATGGCCACTATGGCCAGCGCTGTGCCATTCCGAAGCCAGGAGCCAGGTGCTTCCTCCTGGTCTCCCATGCAGGTGCAGATGCCTAAGCACCTGGGCCATCCTCCACTGCCTTCCCGGGCCACAGCAGAGAGCTGGACTGGAAGAGGAGTAATGGGGACTAGAACCTGGCGCCCATATGGGATGCCAGCACCACAGGCAGAGGATTAACCAAGTGAGCCACAGCACCAGCCACCTCCCAGGTAGCCTTTTAAAAGTCCCAACATAGGCCACACCCCAAATCAATTAAGTCATAAGTGCTGTGGCTGTGACACAGGCATCAACAGTTTTTCAAGCTTCTAGGTGATTCCAGCACATGGCCATGGTTGAAAAGTCATTCTGTAACCATGATTTGATCACAGAACTTACCCAGAAACATCCAAAGGGATGCAGATGGCTTTAAGTGAAGCTCTGTTGTTGGCCTCCATGAAGAATGTAACCTTCCTGACTGCCCGTGCTGTGCATGCCTGCAAAATACAAATAAGTCCATTGGCTTTGTTAGACCTCACTATTTTATGCTGCACTCAATAGATGGACAACATTCACGAAGCCCTCAGGGGACGCTCAGAAACTGCGAAACTGGACCAGGGAAAGAGGGAAACTTGATGCAGTTTGCCTGTTCCTTCTGTTTACAAAAAGACCATGCAGATCTCCTCAGCACCCTTCTCTCCAAGCAACTGAACGGCTTGTCATCACTTGGGTAGTCGTGGCTTTGGGACTGAGAGAGAAAATAAAGAAGGAAATGCACTATTAAAACCCAGCTGCCTTTTTGAGACAGTTTTCTTCACCAAAATAAGAGTTTCGTCAGGATTTCCGAATAGTGGAACTGGTTTAAATGCATCCTTCTCTTTGTGCTCATCTCTTAACTTTGGGAGGCATCCAATGAGAAACTACATGGTCAAGAGCCCGGCAGGACTAGAACGGGGCTCTGAATGGCACGTCCCATGGAGAATAACTCCTGGAGGAGTCAAAAGCTGACTTTTGAAGGAATAGGTTCATTTGAATGATCCTCAAAGGATACATGGGTTGCCCTCCAAATGTCCACTTGTAAATTGGTTATTTACACTCGCTTATTTCCTTGTACATGTGTCATCTGGTGCTAGATTCTCAAGGGAATCCAGAAAAGCCCACCTAATTCTTAACTGGATTACAGTACCTATTATACTAGATTGGTTAGTGTCCCAACAAGAAGAGAAGAAAAATGACTGCCTCCTCCCCTCTGTGCTGTGTCAGTTAGAGTGCCCACAGTCCCTTGTGCATGGAGCTCCCGTTGCGTGTTTTCCCTGTAGGCCACGTGTGCCCCGTGTTCTACAATCTCACCCCTTCCCCAAGGCCTGCCAGTGGGCCTCGTGCCCCACAGTGACCTAACTCCATTTCCACACATCTTGGCAAGGTGTTGGGAAGAATGCGGTGGAGCTAAACATCCGAAATGCCCGGAGCCTGGCAACTTAACAGAGGCGTTGCATTTTTCAAGCACCTGTTTTCTCACTCCTATCAGTTGTGGTTGATAGATTTGCTGGTAGAATTGGGGAAAAAAAAATCAGGTTGTCAGGGGAGATACAGGAAACTGAGTCAGACACCCAAAATGATCTTTGGATGACAGGCTCTTCGTTTTCTCCCCTCCCCCACACACTCCCAAAGTAGCTCCCAAGCTGGGATCTTGAGTCCATTCGTGTATGGCTATTTATAAGTTGTTGTAAGCTCAAAGCTGCCAGAGAATCTGCGGCCTTTATTCAAGGTCCCTGTAGGGTCCTTGAGTAACCTGCACTCAAAGTATTTCCACGAGTGATGGAGTTGAAAATCGGTACGCCTTACCAGTAAGATGCACAGTTACCTAGATTTCCATAGGATCTGTTCAAGTTCTTTTTAACACAGACAGCCTGTTCTTTTTTTATTATTAGCAGATAGAGTTATAGACAGTGAGAGAGAGAGACAGAGAGAAAGGTCTTCCTTCCATTGATTCACTCCCCAAATGGCCACTACAGCCGGCGCTGCGCTGATCCAAAGCCAGGAGCCGGGTGCTTCCTCCTGGTCTCCCATGCAGGTGCAGGGCCCAAGCACTTGGGCCATCCTCCACTGCCTTCCTGGGCCACAGCAGAGAGCTGGCCTGGAAGAGGAGCAACCGAGACTAGTACCCAGCACCCCAACTGGGACTAGAACTGGGGTGCCGGTGCTGCAGGCGGAGGATTAGCCAAGTGAGCCACGGTGCCGGCCCTGTTCTTGTTTTAAGGGGATCAATCAATAGTTCAGAAAGTTAATTACTGAAGCACTGTTTGAAGAACACCTAGCATCTTCTCAACTTTGACAATGCCAGGGTCATCAGTATGCTTAGAAAGTTGCTAGTATCGTGTCTTTAAAAATCTGTGCAGTGCAAAACAAAAAATTGCATATTTGTTAAAAATGTTTGCCTTTTATTTCTGTCTAATTAGTTAGGTAGCATAGTTGGTATAACAGAACCATAAACAAGCATAAACAAGCCACCTGTGTTAATACGCAAATAATGGCTACTTCAAACCCAAAGAACGATAGCCTTGAAACTGCAGGAGACAGAAGGTACACTTTTCAGTCCTCTGAGAATTGTGCCTGAGTGCTGAGAGTAAGCACAAAGAAACGATGCTGGAGAGGCATAGAAGCGCTGACTTGCAAGATTCTGACCACATGGAAGTGAACAGAAAATGTTTCCTCCGTAATAATGATTAAAATAGTTCAACATTATTTGAAGATAAATTTTTAGGGCTGAAATAAATGTGGGTTTCTTTTCTTTTTTTCATTTTTCATTAAAACACAGGGAAGAATTTTAGTTTCTCGGTTTGGGTGGTGACTGACCAAATATTTTAAGTTTTTGTTAAATTTTTCTTCATTTTATTTGAAAAGTGGAGAGAGAGAGAGAGAGAGAGCGA